TGAGCTCTCTGACAAATTCAACTTGCTCAGGCTGAGCTTGGATGTGTTTCCGGAATATGTAGCGCTCGTGCACCTCATTCAGGCGTTCGGCACAGTAAGTGTCGAACTTAGTGATCACAGCTGCATAACTTTCTCTGTTCTTGTCTTCCTCAAAGGCGAAATTGTTGTAAACTTCTAAGGCACCGTCATCTGCCAGAGTTAATAATAAGGCAATTTTCGTGGTATCCTGTCTAAGCGTTTTACCTGGTGTAGAGGCAGCCAAAGAAGTTCGAACTTTTGTTTGAAGAGGTTCCACTGCTTAATGATTCCGGTGTTGAAATGCAGTGGCTCCAGTGGCTTTGCAAGGTCCATACTTCTGCGTTACCATGCACGAGTACTGTGGCCGTGGCTTCACGTTCTGATACCATGTATCGGTCGCTGTACCGACTGAATGACAACCGTGACCAGTTCTCGGCAAACAGGAAAAAAGCAGCTCAGCCTTTATTCGCACACGTTTTATACCCGGTAAGGGAAAGGGCACACAAGTGGTGAGCATGCGCCGACCACGCTGCTTGCAAGCACGCATCACTTCAGCATCAGGTAGATAAACCTGATACAGAATGCTACGACAGTAAAAAATGTGGCGCGAAAGATGAATAAGATGAAGTCGCCCATGATTGCTCGGGCCTGCTTCACTAACCATCGAACACTACCCACAGTGCAGCGACGAAGCATGTACATGAGCGCAGCTGATGACTGATGAGATCCATACCATTTGTCACGACAAGGAAACAGCGACAAGAATGAAGACGACGTTGAAACAGCACATGTGAACTAATGTGAAAAATCAGTATTCAATGGTCATGTGATGCAGTGGGTAAGAAAAATGTGCACGCTGAAGAGTTAGTCTCTCAGTAGTCGAGCTGTCCACATCAAGATAGATCGCGCTCTTCCTAACAGGCACTAAACCTGCACTGGCTATATAATATTTCGTGTTTGTTTTCTCGCGCCTATTAGAGCATCACGCGGTCGTGAATGCATGCACGGCACAAGTAGGCTGCTCACGTGTCTGCATTTACGATTTTTTGCAAATTTTTAATACAGTTACACCTCGTTAAAACGAGACAGGCTTTAACAAAATAATTGATATAACGAGCAAATCCTAATTCCCCTTGAAAGTCCCCATACACACCAATGTATTCAAAACCTCGTTTTAACGAGGCAAAATTTGCCTGTTATGGGATATAACGAACAAATTTTGTTGTTAGGAAGTAAAATTTTGAGCCGATGTCACGACAGTGCACAGCGCGAATTTGAGACGGCGCGCAACGCGAGAACTGTATTTAGCAGTTCAAAACTCCCGCCATGCGCCCTCCAGCAACGTGCGCAAAGCAGACGGCACGCGCTGTTTCCGGAGGAGAGGTCGTTGCACGTGCGCCGCTTGGCTACCACCGACAACGGAGCGCTCCGCAGCTCCGTGAACGTCTCGCCCTTTTCTTTTCTTTTGTGTCTTCTTTATATTCTCCCTCTCTCCTTTCTCATGGCGCTTAGGCGCGCTTCCTAATCTTACATACCCCCTTCCCCTTGAGTAACCAGTTCCCAGAGGGCAGCGCAAAAGAGTGCCCCTTCTGCCCCTTCCTCTTCACAGTCACTTTCTCTGCAAGTGTTGTCGCTCCCCGACGTGAGCCGCGTTGCTTTTGCGTGCGTGTTTCTTCTCTTTTTGGACCGCTTCCGCCTTATTTTTTATCGAGCTGCGCTCGTGATTCCAGCAACATGAATGCGCCAGGCGGGAAGCGAAAGCGCATAACGCTAGATCAGAAGGCGGCTATGATAAGAGCCGTCGAATCGGGGACCAAGAAAGGCAACGTGGCAAGAGACTTTGGCCTATCGACGAGCACACTGTCAACCATCTTGAGCAAGCAGGAGTCCATCATCGACGCTGTTGCATGTGACGTGAAAGGAAGTGCTAAAAGGATGAGGGCACATGCCTTTGAAGCGGTCGAAAGGGCCGTTTTTAAATGGTTCTTGGACACTTGGGCCGTGAATCTGCCGGTGAGCGGCGCCTTGCTGCAAAGAAAAGCGAGAGACTTTGCCTGCATCATGGGCTATGACAACTTCGTAGCAAGTTCGGGTTGGCTCCAACGCTTCAGGGAGCGCCACGACATTGTCGGGAGAGCGGTCTGCGGCGAATCGCAATCTGTCGACGAAGCAGAAGCTACCAAGTGGGCAAAAGAAAACATCGTGCAGCTGCTAGAAAAATACAGGGCGGAGGATATTTTTAACGCGGACGAAACCGCTCTCTTTTTCAAGATGTTGCCGCACAAGACGTTAGCCCTCAAAGGCGAGCCGTGCCATGGCGGCAAACAAAGTAAGCTGCGCATCACTGCGCTACTTTGTGCAAACATGACTGGCTCTGAGAAGCTGCCAATTTTCGTAATTGGCAAAAGTGCATCCCCTCGCTGCTTTAAGGGGAAGAGGCAGCTCCCAGTCAAGTACGTAGCCAATCGCAAAGCCTGGATGACCAGGGAAATTTTTTCAAAATGGCTTTGCGAATGGGACGAGAAGCTGGCAAAGGCGAACCGCAAGGTGTGCCTTGTTTTAGATAACTGCACCGCCCACCATACCGCTGCCGTGCTTCAAAACATCGAGCTGCTGTTTCTTCCTGCCAACTGCACAGCAAAAATACAGCCGCTTGACCAAGGCGTGATTATGTCGCTGAAGACAGGTTACCGCAAGCGTGTCATAGACAAGCTCCTGCTCAACATGAGGATGAAGTGAGACACCGATGTTGACTTGTACGCTGCGCTCGAAATGCTTCAGGCGGCGTGGATGAGTGTGACGGCGACCACGATCGCAAACTGCTTTCGACACGCCTCATTTTCCGCCGCCCCAGACGCCAGCGATGAGCCATCAGACAAGCCCACTGTGCCGGACGGTTTTGCCACATCAGACGAAGTCGCTGCATCATGGACAGCACTTAGTGACGCCGGTGTCGTGCCTGACAGCGAGTCGTTTTGCGACTATGTGAGTGCAGACTCAAAAGTGGTGGCAACGGAGCAGGTCCTGGATGACGATATTGTGCGCACTGTCAGTGATCGTAACGAAACCAGTGACGATGACTCTGTCGACGAACAGGAGACAAACGTGCCGACGGCGTCGGAGGCATTAGTAGCGGTGGACATACTGCGCTGCTACTTCGGCGCTCACGAGGGCGGCAAAGATGGCTTGAACCTTGCGGCCGCAGCTGAGCGAGCCATCGTTCGCATCAGGAAGATGCATCAACGTACAGTTACGGACTTCTTTGCAGCTAAGTCTGCCTGAAATGCAAGCTGTGTATTTTGAAGTGCATTAAAACAGGTGCATGACTTTTTCCTTTTTATTTAGGAATGCGGTTATTTTGTTGCATACCACCGTGCGGCGGGATGCTATTTTGCCTGCTATTTTTTTTGGGTAAGTACAGTGCATAATATTTGCGGTAAATGCCCGTTACGGCTATAACGAAATATTGGTTATAACGAGCAAATAGCGGCGGCCCTCCAATTTCGTTATAACAAGGTTTAACTGTACTTCTATTACGACTTTTCAAAATAACGAAATATTTTTTGCGGTCCCTTGAGATTCACTGTATCAAGATTTCACTGTGCTTCTTATGTGCGAATGCATACGGTTCATTGCAATTAAAATGCATTTTCCGCACCCAACAAGGTGGTCCAACTGTGCCTTTGCATTATGGTCGCCTCCGAGACAAGCTGTCAGGTCATGCTTACCAACCATTGCACTAGGTGGGCCTGGTGTGGTGTATGAATTACCTGTGGAAAGCCCTACATAGGACAAATGGGTGGATGCGTGAATGGCCGTGTGAGGAAACATGTGAACAATTTAAAGAGGGATTTCACTGTGCATGTTTCAAAACATTGCAGAACCTGCTCTTGTGAGCTGAGATTTTATGATGTGAGTGTCTTTGAAAGAAGGAATGGTAAAGTGGCACGTAAACTTCTGGAGGCATTCCACTTCAAAGAGAAAAATTTCAAGTGTGTCAGCTAAAATTCATGTCGCTGCATAACACAGCTTGTTTAAATCCTTGCTTTAAATATGGCCCCCAAGGCTTGTGTAATGTTCATGCATTTGCTCATTAAGAGTGGTGTATATGGGCCACACTTTTATAGTCTCTTTCAAAGTTGTGAGTTAGCAGCTGTCCTGTTGCCAAGTTTGTGTGTGTGGTTGCACTGTAGTGCTACAAAGTTGTCAGTTACTACGCGGGACGAAAAGTTTTCACACTAACATTAAACTAAAGGAAAAACTGATTTTGCTCGTGTTATGAAATGACTATTTCACAGCAGTATATGTACTTTTGAAGTGGAATTACTATTTCACAACACCCATATCACCCTATGTGCTCCAACAAGACACAGGTCCACGCGGCGGTGGTCTAGGGGCTAAGGTACTCGGCTGCATTTCCGATGGAGGGGAAAATGTTGTAGGCCCGTGTGCTCACATTTGGGTGCACATTAAAGAGCCTCAGGAGGTCGTAATTTCCGGAGCCCTCCACTACGGTGTCTCTCATAATCATATGATGGTTTTGGGACGTTACACTCCACATATCTATCAATCAATCCAACAAGACACAGGTTAAGCAAGAACATGCGCGAAAAGGAAATGCGGTCAGCAGTGCTACCTTAAAATTTCCGCACCAATCATTGTGATGTCATGGACTTCGGCGGCATCTGCTAGAGCTTATAAGTTCCTAATTAGGGAAAATGAAGTACATTTTGAGGTGGCCAGCGACGAAGGAAGGTAAGTTTTCAGGAAGTTTAATTGAGCCAATGTCGTCTAAATATGAAAAATACTCATGGAAATTTGTGATGACACGTGCAGATGTTTCAGCGTGAAGTTTAAAAATAAAGCTTTGTTCTTTAATGAAAGCTATGATGGTGATGAAATGAAGGATGGCAGAGGGTGCACTTTATCAGTCTGAACGGATTGATTGTTTCCCTTGTACTGAGGGTGCCGATCATGTGCAGGTGCAACTTGGTGAGGCACGGGAAGGCTGTGAGTTCCTGCAGGCAGAGCGGGCCACATTGGCCGAGGCGCAGCTGGAGTCTGAAGCTGAAATGCGTCGCCTCCGTGGTCTCCTCGAAGCAGCCCTGGAGACTTCGCGCATCCTCTATCAACGCTGTGCCAAGCTGTTTGCCAAGTGCCAGCAGAAAAGGTGCTCATCTCAGCTGCATCTTGTGTCAGTGCGTGTGATACATGGCGCTAAACCTGAATCCAGTTGACATCAGATATCCAGTCTGTGGCTGCCACAAGGAGGCGAGCCACAAACATGTATGCATCAAAGTAACATGATGTTAACTAACAGAGGTATGCTTTGATAAGCAGAGAATTCATTCACTCCTGCAGCATGTCAGATTTGATGTTTGGTGGTCCGCACCAATAACTTGGAGGCATTGTTCACTGTGACATTTGAAAAAAGATGACAACTTTCCTAGCTCATTGCGTTCTAAAAGGTAACAAATGATTTCACTGCCATTTTTTTATATCCTCCCTTTTATATTTTCATGTTCTCCATGATATTGAAAAAAGGGGGTAACTGTCTAGCACCTTTTCAACAGAATATTCAATGAAATTTCGATACAATGAATCTCGAGAGACCGCTAAAAATCATTCGCTGTTCTGAAAAGTCGTATTAAATGTATTAAAGTTTGTGCAAAAATCGTAAAGGCAAATGTGCGAGTTGCTTAGCTGTGCTGTGTATATGTTAAAGACAGCATTATGCTCGAATAAGCGTGAAAAACGAACACGAAATATTACGATACCAGTGCACGTTTATTTGAAAAAAAAGCACAATTTATCGTGACGTGGGCAGCTCGGCTGCTTGAAGATGAACTATTAAGCATGTGCATCCTTCTTACACATTGCAGAGCATCAGCATTTGATACCGATTCTTTATATTGATTCTCGTGCGTTGTTTCAATGCCGTCTTCGCTCTCGTCGGTGTTTTCTTATCCTGATAAATGTTATGAATCTTATGGGTCGTCAGCTAAGCTCACGTGCACGCTTTGTCGTCGCACTGTGCGCAGTGTTCGAGGGTCAGTGAAACGTGCACAATTAATTATGGGCGACTGCATCTAACTGCTCACTGGCATCGCATTTTTCACTGCCGTTGCATTCTTTTCACGGTGCTACAGGAGCACGTCTTGAACGTTCAACCGCCAACAAAAAGGCTTGAAACCAGCACGCAGGCTAAGCCCCCCAATGAAAACAAAAGGCAACTGTGCAAAACCTGTGCAAAAAACAGGTTCCAGGTGATGATATGATGACCATAGGGCTAGATGGAAAAATTCGCTGGCATTCTGGTGATGGATGATAGTGGCAGTCACGAAGCTGGGCATTATTTTTACAGCCACGAGTAACTTTTTAGAATTGCGATTCGTTATTTTGAAGTGTTGGGAAGATTTGAGTGGGTTAGAGTTCGATACGTTATTCTGAAAGACTCAGTATTTTGAAATTCAGAGTAGTGAAATATTTTTAGATCGAAAGACCTCCGACACCAATTTTGGAAACTCGAGATGATTTTGCTGTTTGAAAGTCCTGCGTGCATGGGCATTTCTGACCGATTATTAGTGATGAGCGTTGCCTATAAGACATTTTAGTTTGGTATTAAAAAAAGGATGCTTGCTCGTCCAAGCGTTGTGATGCAATCGACATTTTGGGGGGTTTGACGTAGAGATCCCCTCAAGACGTTGCAGAGGTCAAGCAAGTATTGTCGACGTCAAAGAATGTTTGTGGGGCACTCACAATAGCCCGACTGGTCTCCAGCGAGGACTATTATACATCTCCCCTCTCGCTCTCTTGTCGGGCTGCTCCAAAAGTGGGTTTGGCCGCGTACGCCAGAAATGCTTTTCTTTTGCGAATATTCGAAAGTTTCGAATATTCGTCAAATATTAAATTCGCACTATTCGTATTCGATTCGAAAAAAGTGTATTCGAAAAGTTCAAATATTCGAATAACTTCGAATATTCGACAATATCGAATATTTGATTGGATTATCATGCAGAAAATAACTCTTCTTTAATACTTCCACTGGGTTCAGAGATATTAAAACGTTGCCCAGAGAGGCGATAAGCGTCAGAAGTGCACGGAGGCACTATGTCGGCCAGCGACGGTCAACAATCAGCAGCAAAGTTGAAGTTCGTGTAAACGTATTGCACGCTTTTTGTATGCCGCCGTAACGTGCTGCACTACCACACGTTCACTATGCGGGACCTCGTGTGCAAGAACGAAGCTTAACCGTTGCCGCGTTGTCTCATCAAAACATCGCTTGATAACGCGCGACCGTGCACGCGCGTGCTAAAGCAGAAACTTCGTCACAGTCGGCAAACGCTTCGGTTAGAAAACATAATAAGTGACAAGAAGAGTTCTAGTGGTAATTTGTACTATGACGTCGCATTTACCTCCTTTTTCGAGGAGGTTCCGCACGTGAGCAGTCGCACAGTTATACCCGTGCCACACGGGCAGAAAAAATGGCGTTTACCCACGAATGCCTTCAGATTTATTGCCATTCGCGCGGTGCCACATGGGCAAACAAAATAGCATTCATCCGAATGCCATTCGAATGCCATTCGCCACCAACTGCCTTCGCCAGAACTCAGTTGACTGAGAAATGCCTACTCTCGACGACACAGCTCGCGAAGTGCGATTTACCTGAAAGTATATAAAACAAATAATATTGAGCTAAAAATGAAATTTCCCGTCTTTTATTTGACTAAAGTCTTAAAAAGATGCTTTGAACGTTATACGAAGAAAATAAAGTATTGATAATGAAATAATTGTCAATTTTAGCGAAACTTTGGCAAACAAGCATGCAACACTGGTATTTTCATCGCCATCGAGTTCACTTTCTTCGTGACTTTCTCTGCTTTTTCTCGTCTCTGCTCCAAAATTATTCGCTCTTGAGCACAATGCTTTGCACGAAAACACACAAGTGCTGCCGTGAAAAAACGAACTCTGCGAACATCTTCTTCTGAGAGATGCGACAGGAGCGATGTTCCTCCGTGTGTGCAATGTTGGGTGCAATGCGACAGGCGCCATTTTCTATTTACGCTGTGGATCTGACTAGTGTTGGCTTAGGCTGCTACGGTCGGCAGCAACGTTGTAAAACAAAGCAAGAAACTAAAACTTAGGACAGCGTAATATGCTTATTTCTACATTTGATGATTATCTGATGTGTATGAAGCTTGTAAATGCTTCTTAATTTTTTTATTGCTATTCACTCAATGCTCACTTGGAAGGTGCTGTGATCGACATCATCAAGTCAAATGTCATTTGCTTTGGACGTGTGGCAACGCCGGCGAAACAAATGTCATTCGGGAACTGAAGGCCTTCGCCACCAAATGTCATTTTCTATGCCCGTGTGGCACGGGTATTATACAACATGCTCGAAAGCGGTTAGTGCCAACTCGGGAGTTTATTGCTACCGTATTTAGTCGATTGTAACGCGCACCCAATTTCCACCGCGAAAAAAAAAAACAACGTAAGACATCGATTGCAACGCGCACCCATTTTTCTCGCTGACCCGCATGATCACACCACTCGAAAAAACGACTCCTTTCGTGAGCGTCTTCCATTTAAATATGAGGTACGGGCGAAGCTTGTGCTCATCTGACGTGTAACAGAGCATTGCCGTCACTGTAGTTTTACCGTGGACCGATGTCAGCAGGCGAACTTGCTTCGCCTCCTTCTTCTCGACGGTTGTGGTGCCAGGCATGTCGAAGTAAAGAGGCGTCTGATCGGCATTCCCGATTTGTCCAAGCAGGTATTTGTTGTTGCGCCGCAAGTTTAGGACGAACCTCTGAAAACTGTGAAGCTTTTCATCGTACTCCTCCGCAAAACTTTTCGCATATACATGTTCCCCTTCGGAGGAAAAAGCCTTTCCTCTTCATAAAGTTAGTTAGCCAGCCCCTGCTCGCTTTAAACTGGCTCCGCATTAGACTTTTTTCTAAGACTAATTGCATAGCCCGCACTTGGAGCAGTTCTGTCGTCACGGGCCGCTGTGCCGCTCGCTGCTCAAGCACATACTCGCCGAGCAGCTCTTTAATTTGCGGAAACCGACCCTGCTGTGGTCCACTGAAGCCTTTGCGTGAAGCTTTGCTGTCGACAATCTTTTGCTTTTGTTTCCGCCGGTCCCGCACGCACGTTTCGGGAACTCCGAACGACCACGATGCGGCCCGATTTCCGTCCGTTTCTGCACACGCGATGACTTTTCTTTTAAAAGCGGCATCGTGGTGCACTCGAGGTTTTGGAGTCGGCCCTTCCACGCCGTCGATGCTAATGCACTACTAGATGACGAACTCCTCAGCACACGTACGAATTGCCGCACATGGGAAACACATAGGCAGAAATGGCCGACGCGCCATGCCGACGCACGTAGGGGGCGGCCATTTTGGATTTGCCGATGGCAATAGATTGACCGCACGGAGGAACCTTCCTCCGTGGATTGACCATAATTTTTTTGTTTGTACTCGATTCTAACGCGCATGCGATTTATGAACCCGCTTAACCGGAAAAAAGGTGCGCGTTAGATTCGAGTAATTACGGACGAAAGATGGGCAACTTGCAGTGGCCCGTTACAAGTTCGCAGGTCAAAAAACAGCAAAAGTAAACTGCCTGAATGGGCCTTCCTAGAAAAAGCTAACGGCAATGGCAAAGTAAGTTATGTCGTATTCCCGGCAAGTATGCATTAAATAACTTGGTTTGCATTCTAAACATATCGAATATATGAAACGGTAATCATGCGCCGACCTTTCAGTTTTATATATCTGTATATGCATATAAATATTTTTCGTGCTGGCCACCAGAGCGCATGAGTAGTGGTAGTGCGCCATGTAGTGCACAGTGCTACGTTAGTAGGGTCAGCGGCGTTGGCTAGTGCTGTCAGCCGCTACGATCAGTTCTGCTAGCTGCCATAAGTGCCATGGCAGATAGCGGAGGCTATGACGATTCGCCTGCGAAACGGAGGAACAATCAAGACACGGCGCCGAAACGAAGGGAAAGAAGCGCTATCTGGAAGCACTTTGTGAAGACATCGTCGTCGTTGGCGCAGTGCAAGACATGCGGCGCAACACTTAAAACGCCGACCGGTACGACTAGTCCTCTTGTTAACCATCTAAAACAGCACCCAACCGCGATGAAGGAGTACCGGATGACTGC